TACACATCAGTTTTGCAAAACATGGTAGTTCATCATTAATAACATGAGACCAAAACAAATAGTTTACAGTATGCCAAGTTCACACATGTTTCAGAAATAATTTGATTCAATTGATAATATAATAATTTATCAAAACAGTTTAATCATGAAACAACAATTTAATTTTTCCAACAGTTCAGGGTAGGGGAACATTTATAAAAATATGTAGCATGAAACTACTCACCTGAAAAACAATATATATAATCCTCGTATAGAGTGTAAAAGTCCAACTAGTGCCCTGAACCAAGTATAAAAACTACACGTCACAACTAATTTAAAAATACTAAAAAAATAGGAACTAAGTAACCTCAAACAAAGCGCACTAACACGGCTCAACCCAACTCACCGTTACTCTTAAATATTACCTAAGTTCATATTCTCAAGGTCTAAAATCACCCAAGACATAGATTCCGATCGAAACTTAACTAAAAATAACTTTAAGATGAAACAGTGTTTTAAACAAGTTTTCCCAATCTATTCGCTAACTTTGAAAATTACAAAACCCACTCCACGCTATTCGAAAAATTCCAATAACCTCCAGATATGATCTAATATATCCTAAGTTTCAAACCCAATTTGTTTCACTTGATTTGCTTATCAAAATAATTTTCTACAATTTATTATATCCAAACAGGTTGTTTTCTGCAGCACTTTAAAGAAATTGACGGTTCTCTTAATATACACGAGCAATCAATGCAAGGCCAAAAGCATATGAAACTAGTCTCGTAACCGGTTCTAATGACACTAATTTGATGATTTTTGGATTTATACCCAATGAGAACAACACTCCCGAATTTACTGTTTCGACATGGTTTCCTGGACAGATTTGAATACCTCAATTTATATGGATTTCGATTCCCAAAATTATGAAAAAAATCAGATATACAATTCAATATGTAATTAATCTACTGTAAAAATTTCAGATTAAAATTCATCCGTTTGATATGGTTTCTTGATTTTTAAAGTTCGTGATTATGCGCAGAATTTTTAACTAAGAATAATACCCAATCTTTATACATGAATTTAACTCCTCAAATTTCATAACAGTATATATATATACAAATATATAAACCTACAACCTCCATGAATGAATAAAAATAATATAGAATAAGGATGAAGAACAAAGAAAGAAGAGAAGAAAACCTAGGAGGCCACACAGCACAACACACCCAAAGCTCTCCTTCTTGGCTACAACAATAATCTTGATGATGAGAAACCCCTCTCTTTCCTTCATAAACCCACGGCTGCTAGGGCTGCTAGTGTTGTGGAAAACAATTATAACAAGAGTTAGGGTTTGTGTTTATTTTATTTTATACTAGTGGTGGGCACACTTAGGTCAAATAGATAGATAAATATACAAAATACATATATAAGTTACATGCAACTCAAATGGTAAGAGCCTAACTTATTAATTTTATGGTCTAGAGTTCAAGTCACACCCTCTTCTCTAATTTTTTTTTAATAATAAATCTTGCTTCTCAATCAATGACTTTCACCATAAATTTATTTAGGTTTAAAAATTAATTAAAGGATCCTCCAATAATATTTAATTTGCACCTTAGAATTCACCACCAAAATATTTGAGATTGTAATATTATTATTTAATTATTTACTTAATTTATTATTCGGGTTCTCACAAAATCTGGAACATGCCTCACATCTTTGAGAACCAGCTTGTTCCCGACATTAATTTGAATACTAATGTCTCCAATACCCACAATCTTCGAATAGCTAGAATTCCATATTCAAACAGTGCCAAAATCTCCAGCGTTGTACAAGCTGAAGAGTTCTCTGTGGAAAGTGCGTGATAGGATGCAGTTGTGTCTATCACCCATTCTGTGTAGCTGTGGTCAGCCACGTGAAGGCAATCTTCCTCTTCACCAACTGCAAGAAGTATTTCATTAGTTGTTGTGGCTGTTGTGTTCTCATCTCCTTTTGACTTACTGCTTTGGCCTTTCTCTTTCCGGCTTGGGCAGTTTCTCTTTATGTGACCCTCCTGGCCACAGTGATAGCAAGTGAAGCTGGAGTTACCTCAACTTTGTTGTCTCTGGATTTACTCCTGCTGTTCCAGCTGCCTCTACTCTTGCTTCTTCCTCTACCTCTTCCTTTACCTCTGTCTCTGCTTCTATCTTCTATGACAAGAGCATGGGACTGATTATGGGACTGATTACCTCTCATGTCTTTCCTTCTTGTTTCTTCATTGTACATGGCATCTGTGACCATACTCATGTTAGTTTCCCTTCTGGTGCAGAGGTGCTGAGAGAAACCACTAATGTCTCCCAGCTGTCCGGTAAAGAACTGAGCAGTAGTACGGCTTGCATTTCATTGTCCAATCGCATCTTGACGGTTACAAGCTGATTCACTAGATTTTGAATTCACTGGTGTGCTCGGCATAAACACACCATTCTTCTACTTCAGATTTACTAGCCTTCTTATCACCAAGGCTTTGTTTCGGGCTGTCTTTGACTGGTACATGTCGTTTAACATTGTCCAAAGAGCATAGGCATCTGTCTCTTTGGCAACATGATGGAACACACTGTGGTCTATCCATTGTCTGATACAAGCGATAGTCTTGCGATTCATCTTTATCCAGTTATCATCTTTCATTCCTTCAGGTTAATCCTTTTATAAAATGGGGTCAAACAAGTCCTTAAAAACAGGATGTCTTCCATCCGTGACTTTCAAATTGCATAATTGGAAGGAGTTAACTTGAACATGGATTCTGAAGTTGATGTGGATGCCTCCATCGCATTCTGTCTTTTTACAGAAAACTCCAAATGAAAAATTTGACCGTACGGATGTGTCTGGAATACTCCAAATAGTCAAAAAACACTATTGGATCGTCAAAAACGGACTCAGAATGGCTCTGATTAAGCCAAAACAGTTTAGACGGTTCAGATCTGCGGAATCTGGTGCGCCTGCGAAGCACCGGATGATTTCCCGGTTTGGCTGAGTCAACGGCTCAGTCAACGCGCCGGTCAACGCGGCTTGGAAGCGGCGCGGCTCTGGTCAACGGCTCGGCTCACGGCTCGGTCAGCGGCTTGGTCAACCTTGCCACGTGTCTGCCACGTGTCTGTCTGTTGCCACGTGGCGTTGATGCAGCGTTGGCGTGCGCGCTGACGTGGTCGTTTCTTCCTTACGCTACGCGTGAGGGTGCGTGCGTGCGTCTGAACTGACGCGCCGTGTGCTGGTCGACGCGTGACGCGCGTGTGGCTTATGCGCTTTCTTTGGGGGGCGCATGCGGGCGCGTGTGAGCTCTTCTGGAGCTCTATTTTGCAGTTCTGGACTCCTTTCTTTGAGACCTTGCTCCTGGTATGCTCAAAACCGGATTTTGAGCAACTTGATTTCTGGGCAGTTTTCGAAAAACACTCTGTTTTTGTTTCGGGAATGCAGTTGATTCGGCTCTGATACCACTTGTTAGGACTATTAGATTCCAGAAATCAATTCACACAATAACACAACAATATTTACGTGGTTCGGCAATTGCCTACGTCCACGGAGAGCGATATATTATCTGGAGAAAGATTACAGGCCTCTCTCTCACATACACTCTCACACTTAGTGTTCTCTCTGTATTGCTGCTTGTTTTCTCTCCTCTCAGCCTCTCCATTTATACACATAGATGGTAGGTGAGGAGAGCCAGCCTTCTTCTTCTCCTTTCGGTGGTCGTCGCAAATCCGTCTACCTTTGCGGCTTGCCAACCGACAAGCCGCATTGCTTGACAAGCAATGCTACGCTTTCACATGGAGGATGGTCTTCTTATGAGCTGGAGCTAACAGAAGGTTCATGGTAGCAATAAGAAGTTTGATACAGATGTGTCTCTTGAAGTGATAGCCATGAGAACCCTGGTTTCAGTGGGGCTGATCTTGTAAACCTCTGAATGAGGCAGCTATATTGGCTGGACGACGTGGGAAACTGCAATCTCATCTAAAGAGATTTGATGATTCAATAGATAGGATTGTGGCTGGAATGGAAGGAACGGTTATGACAGATGGGAAGAGCAAAAGCTTGGTTGCATACCATGAAGTCGGCCACGCTATTTGTGGGTAAGTATCAAACTATCCTTTACTTTTGTCATTAATTCTGGATGTTTTTCATTTTAGGGTTCTTTGGTCGAACCAAAGCATGGTTGTTTACAATGTTTTTATGATATCATTGTGCTTTATTCTTTAGTATTCAGCTAACCATAAAATGAATGTGAGTTGGCAAGGTTCATCCTCATCATGTTTGTTGGACTTGCATCTAGCCCTTTTGGCAAGGGATCTTCTCTCTGACTTCGATGGTGGCAAAAGATTGTTGTGCCAGTGGTTTATTTTTTTTGAATGGTATAAAGATGGCATTATCACGGGGCACTTATACTTTGTGCAGAGAAAGGTGTATAAATTATTGAACTCTCAATCCATCCCTTCAGGCCCTTTCTTACAAATGCCGTGCCAACACTTTTTTACTAACTTGCTAGGTTTGGTCTTTGTAGTCTGAGGTTATGAGAATTATAATGCTTAAAATGTTTAAATGTGCGTTGATGCTAGCAATAATAATGTTTTTATGACTACTTATGTATATTATAAATTGTTTGACTCGTGCCTTGTGCTTTGTGTTTCTTGTGGACATTATTCATAGTTGATTTCATTATGTTGTCTTCATTTTCTGTTTACCTACTCGGTCGCTGTTGGACCTCTTTGTCTTCTGCAGTGAGATAGTCTCTGGGGATGGGCATCACTAAATACTTAAAAGTTCTTTTGTTTACCTTGGTGGACTTCTTGTCTGCACTCTTGTAATTTTTTTGGTTCGCAATGAAAATTGTTATTCTATTACTCTCACTAATTCATTGGTTTCTTTTCCATGCAGGACCTTGCTCCAGGGCATGATCCCGTTCAAAAAGTCACCCTTATTCCACGTGGTCAGGCCCGAGGTCTTACATGGTTTATTTCTGCAGATGACCCACCTTGATCTCAAAGCGAAACTATTTGCAAGAATTGTTTGGTGGACTTGGTGGAAGAGCTGCCGAGGAAGTGATCTTTGGTGAGCCTGAGGTGACCACAGGTGCAGCCGGTGATTTGCAACAGATCACTGGTTTGGCCAAACAGGTAAAATCATTTTAACTGAGGTTTTTAGTTTCAAAATGGACGTCAATTTCACCCCAGCCATATTTGAAAGCAATCCTCGGCAAAATATTGAAATGAAATCTCTAAATTCGAATATTTTACTGAGTTTATGGAGAAAATGGTTTAATTTTTTTTTTTTTTCAAATAAAGTTTGAGGTGGCAAAATATATTCATTGTTATCAACTGAAATAAAAAAAAAAAAAAAAAAAAAAACAAAGAAAACAAAAAAAAAACTTACACCTTCTAGTAAGAGCTTATTCCAGTCTAATCAGTGATCTGTTTTTTCAACTAATAGTGAGAAGCAATTGTTTTCCTTGATTAATCCATTTGAAAAAATTCTAGAAAATTTAGGGTTTTAATTGATCTATATCTGCAGATGGTGACCACATTTGGAATGTCTGAAATTGGTCCATGGTCACTAATGGAATCTTCAGCTCAGAGTGCTGATGTGATTATGAGAATGATGCAAGAAATTCGATGTCAGAAAAGCTTGCCGAAGACATTGACACTGCTGTGAAGAGGCTTTCAGATGGAGCATATGAGATCGCCTTGACCCACATAAAGGAACAACCGTGAGGCTATTGACAAAATTGTGGAAATCCTTCTTGAGAAGGAAACAATAACCGGTGAAGAATTCAGGGCGATTCTCTCTGAATTCGTTGAAATCCCAGCTGAAAATCGGGTCCCTTCACCCGTACCATCTACAGTCACTGTATAAGTAGCACAGGTCATAATGCAAATGCAATTTACAATTCTCATACATCTTCATATGTCTCAATGTATAATTTTGTAATCCTCATCATGTGTAATTAGGAATAGCCACTAATTCTATATTTGATCATACTTTCTCCATTTTCAATGTTATACATTAATACCCAAATGGTTTAATCTGATGTTTCTTTGCTTTAATTCTTGAGCTTGCCTTTCTTCTACCGATTTTAACTACCTCTAACTGACTTCCCAAACTAACTACTGTTGTTGTTAACTATGTTCTACGAACTAATTACTATGGTTAACTTTTGCTCCATTGAGAGTTAGCAATTAGCTAACTGGGATATCTGTGATAAATGCTCTACAGGCTGAGTAAATGCTATATGTATATAGATTTCTACCTCGATTTTTTTATTATTTATAATTTTTTACATAGGAAGAGGATAAGGGAAAGAAAACTACATTACACATTAAACAAGATTCAAATCTAGACATCACACCTAATGAGGGGACACATAATACTCCAAATCAAATATAATTTTTTTTTTTTTTTATTAAAATATGTGGTTCCATCCCTAAGCTCAATGTGTTGACCCACTCTTATCAATTAAATTTAAATACTTGCAAATCACTTAGTCGTAAGTATATCATTCTAAGTGATGACAATCAACAAAAATCAAGTGTCTCAATTTACCAAGTTTATCATGCAAAACTACCAATAGGTTCTAATAGTTAAACTTAATTCTTATCAACGTCTTATTGAAAATAAGTCTTGACAAAATTGTCGCTAAAAATAAATTTTTTTGTGACAATTTTTTACATACGTCGCTAAAAATTAATAATTATGACTTTTTTTGTCATGATTTTTATAAATTATCGCTAAAACTTAAAATTAGTAATGTTTTTTATGACAATTTTTTTCCATAAAACCTATTAGACAATAAGGTCACTTATTAGGACTTACACGTAAGTACCCCAATTAAATACATTTCTTTGCAAAATTACACAATTGATAAAACTAAACTAGCGTTTTGAATCTAGTTGATTACTCCATTCGTTTCAAATTGTTCATCCATTTTTACTGTTCTAGAACATCTAAAAAATCGTCAATATTTTTAATTTTATTAGTAATTTTTCAATGATTTTGAAGACCTCATCCACAAGAGTGAAATCTTTTAATTTATGATTCTTTTTAAAAAATTAATGAAAAATTATTTATGATCTAAAAAATAGTCTGGATTTTTTGCCATCGGTTTAATCAAAATTATTTAAATAAATATTTTTTTTCTCAAAATAAATATAATGAATCTGAATGACTCCAAATACTAGTAGAACAGAACTTCAGTTTTATTACACAGGTCATTAAGCCAAGCCAACCCAAATGTATGTGGTCTGTCAAAGTCATGTGTTAGGCCTCTCACTCCAACCCCTCTTCGCTTTCTCTCCACAAACACCCCAAAACTCAAACGAATTCACCAACCTCTGCTCCAAAGGCCGCCTCAAAGAAGCATTTGAATCATTCACATCAGAGATTTGGTCCGACCCATCTCTCTTCTCTCACCTCTCCAACGATGCATTCAAACCCAATCTCTCTCACTCCTCAAACACCTCCATTCTCTGATCATCACATCTGGGTCCTCCTCAGAAAAGTTCGTATCCAACCACCTACTCAACGCCTATGCCAAATCGGAGAACTTTCAACCGCCGTTACACTGTTCGACGTAATGCCCATGAAGAACATCATGTCTTGCAACATTTTGATTGGTGGGTTCATTCAAAATGGTGATTTAGAGAGTGGCACGTCAGGTGTTTGATGAAATGCCGCGAACGAAATGTTGCGACGTGGAATGCGATGGTTGCGGGTTATGACCCAGTTTGAGTTTAACGAAGAGGGGTTGAGTTTGTTTTTCCAAATGCATGTTTGGGCTTTATTTGTTGGATGAGTTTCACTCTTGGGTAGTGTTCTTCGAGGTTGTGCGTGTTAACATATATTATATTATACATTATAGTGCCTTTTGTATATATTATACTATGCATTGTAGTGCCTTTGTAGGCTGTAATTGTAGTGCTTTTTAGGCTGTAAAGAGTCACACCACTACCACCTTATCTCTCTC